CATCAACTCTCCACCCTGGAGCCAGAGACATCTTACTCCCATTAGATGATTGCCTTCAGTGGCTCTCAAAATCTCAATCATTTCCATAACACCCCAGGCCCCCCAAGATCCAGCTGACTAATTCTCCAGCCTGATGTCCCTCCTTTCCCCTTGCCTTCCAACCAGCAACTCTGAAATACTCATAATCTCCCTGCACACACCGTGATGTTCCAAGCCTTTCTGTTTGGCACAAGTTCTTTCCTGTGACCTGATACTCTCTTCCTCCCCTCCCCTGGCACCTCCTCCACCCTTACCCTTGTCCTCACACTTTCTTCACCTGGCAGAGTCTTGTTCATTCTTTAAAACTGCCAATTACTCTGTGAAGTGTTTCCTGACCCACTATTCTTTTCCTCTGCCCCAGAATCTCTCTCTGAACATGCATCTCTCATTGTATCTGACAGTCAGAGTTTTAATCATTACTCACAGTCCTGTCCTGTCTGCCCCACTGGCTCTGTGTCTCCACACAGGACTCAGTACCAGCATAGTTGGTGCTCATGAAATGTGTTGCCCTGCAGTTTCTCCCTCACCCATATCTGGGCTCAAAAGACTCCTCCTCACGGGCTGCAGTCTGTCCATTTCTCTCATTCCTTGTACCTTGAGGCCACTGTTCCTCTTCTGCTTCATGTGGTGAAGGTCCTTTCTCAGGGAGAGTGCAGGGTACAAGGCATCATGGGAGACTGTTGGCTCTGGTGCCAGTAAATTCTGGTCTGTCACCTCCCACCTTGAACAAATTCTTTAAATCCTCTGAACTTTAGTCTGTGATCTGCACAATAGAGGGATGTGAGAATCAGAATACAGCACATACTTAAAGAAATTGTTAAGTGCCATATAAATGTTTTTATTGCATTTCCTTCTTCTAGACTGGTGTTTACCTACACTTGCTTCTGTGGAAATCATAAGATCACAAGAATGTGATGTAATCTTTTTGTAATTTCCCCACCTTGAGTCAAGGGAAAAGTTGGTCAAGAGTAAACCATTAATTCTGTCTTCTGACAGCAACCCTGCCACCCCAAGTCCATCTTCTCTGAAGCTCTGGGTTAATGATTCTAAGGTTGTTTTCTTCACAGGGCCAATTTGTATCTTATCTTTGGCATGTTCCCTCTTTTCTACAGAATAATTTGACTCACTCCAATAGTTCCTAGGATTTTCCTCAAAAGTTGCTGTAGGGACTAACTATGAAGATCCAAGAAACAAGGATACTGTGTCTAACTCTAATCCTTCCTCCAGATGTGGGGTTTAAGGGTTCATTTTTGGAACACCAGAAGAAGAAAGTTCCTGAAGATTTGATGTGGAGAAACCATTCTGAGCCTGGTTTTGAAAAGTTTAATTAGCAGCTCGGGAGGACTGGGCTATACAGAGAAGCAGCCCAGTCCGGAGTGTTTATTGGTGGAGAACAAGGGAGGAGGTCTGTTTTTAGCTATAGTTTCTGTGTCACTCTGGATCCTAGAGAGCCTGGCAGCCAGATTCAGCTGAAGGTTGAAGCTCTTAGATAATGCTAGCTAAGAGTGACATGGTGTTTAAGTGCTTGCCTGCTAACCAAAAGGTTGGTGGGTTGAATCTACCAGTGGCTCTGTGGGAGAAAGATGGGGCAGGTTTACTCTGTCCTTTAGGGTCACCATGTGTTGGAATCAATTTGACAGCAATGGGTCTATTTTTTGCTTTTTTTTTTTGTTGTTGTGTTTTTGTTTTTAACAGCTTTGAGCTCTCAGATATTCAAAAACCAACAACAGTGGCTCACTACCAGGAGTCTCCCCAGCCCCCTACATCGCCCCCTCTCTATCCTGTAAATTTGGTGCTCATCTCTGTAGAGTTCTGGAACATGGTGGTAAAAATGTAGATGTCTCAAGAGGTTATGGTGGCCCTGTCTCCTTGATTAGAAGGGAACTCCCCTAGAATTGTTGGTTTTGCCTCATCCTCATGCCCTAGAGAGGGCTTTGCATTAAGTGGGCTGGTGGATCACTGTTCTGCAAGGGCCCACAGTGTGATTTGAACAAGTTATGTTCTCTGAGCTTCAGTGTCCTTGTCTGTGAAAAATGGATGTCATTCCTTCCTTTTTACCAACCAACCAACCAACCGTTCTTGTGATAATTGAATGTTTCATCATTTAAAATTTTTGATAATGAAAGAGACCTTTCAGACTTAGATTTTGGTCCTACATTATTCTTGCACTTACACTATTATGTTTGTGATAATAGATCATCACGACTGCCACAGTGATTGTAGCACCATCCTGATTCTAGAGAGATGTTAATATTTAAAACAAATACAATAAAACCCATTTGGTTTGGTTTTTGGAACACTGCCTAAGGCTTCTGACTGCTAACCAGAAGGTTGGTGGTTCAAACCCACCAGCCACTCCATGGAATGAAGACTGGGCAATCTACTTCTGTAAAGATTTACTGCTTCAGAAACTCAGTGGAGGTTGCTATGAGTCAGAATCAACTCCATGGCAGTGGGTAACACCACTGAAGACCTTGTGTTCACCTCCTTGATCCCATCCCCTGTCTTTGCACCCTAGAGAAAACCATAGTCTTGAATTTTTTTTTTGTTTACTGTTACCTTGTTTTTGTCTACAGTATGGATTAAATTGTGTCCTCCAAAAAATGTGTTGTAAACCCAAACCCCTGTACCTGTGGTTAAAATCCAGTTTGGGAATGGATTTTCTTTGTTGTGTGAATGTGGCAGTATGAATGTAATGTATGTCTTAAATCAATCTATTTTAAGGTACAAAAGAGCAGATTAAGCAAGCAAGTAGAGATGGGAGGAGATAGATGCCAGGCCACATGAAGATCACCAAGGAGTCAGAACAGAAGATGAAGACAGTCAAGGATCCTCTCCAGAGCCGAAGGAGAGAGATCAAACATTCCCCTAGAAGTGTTTTATTCAGACTTCTAGCCTCCAGAACTGTGAGAAAAATTCTGTTCATTAAAACTATCCACTTGTGGCTTTTCTTTTATAGCAGCATGTTGTAGTTGTGTGTCAGCCTGGCTGGGCCTGGTTTTGAGTGGCTGGGCAGCTGGATGTAGTTATTCCCCATAATGAGACTGGTAATCAACTTCATGGTGGAATCTACTAGAGCAGCTGAGTAGCTACTTTAGGGATGTGGTCTCCTTCCAGTACATAAGAAGCTTCAAGGAGGGTTTCTGGAGTTTTGGGCATACTTGGACCCTGCATGTAGCTGAGTCTTCACTCAGCAGCCTGCCATAATGGTTGCCAATCTCAGGACTATCTCTGGACTTGAACTAGTGACCTGCCATGTTGTTTGGCAATCTTGGGATTGTGCTATTTTATTTGTTGACCTTGGGTTTGTCAGCTTCACCAGCCAGTAGCTGCCTGAGTTAAGAAGAGCCTCCAACTTCAGTGGGCTGGGAGAAGAGGCAGAGCTGAAGCCCAAAGTTGAGGGGCCTTTACCAAACCCCTAGAGCTGGCACTTTGAACTTGGACTTCTACCTTCCTAAACTGTAGGAGAATAAACTCCTGTTTGTTAAGACCACCCATTTGTGGTATTTTCTATTAGAGCATGTGGTGGTTATGTTTTTGTGTCAACTTCGCTAGGCCTGGTTGAGTGGCTGAGCAACTGGATGTAGTATTCCCCATGATGAGACTGGTTATCAACTCCATGATGGAATCTACTATGAGCAGCTGCCTTTGGGTATGTGGTCTGCTTCCTGTATATAAGGAGAAGCTTTGAGAAAGGTCTCTAGCCTTTGGCACGCTTGGACCCTGCATGTAGCCATGTCATTGCTCAGTAGCCTGCTATGCTCTGCTGACCTTGGGACTTACAGTGGACTTAAGTTAATGGCCTGCCGTGTGGATTGGTAACATCAGGACTGTGCCTTTTGACTTGTCGACCTTGAGGCTTCTCAGCCTCAGCACCCAGCAGCTGTCTGAGTGAAGAAATGCCTCTAGCTCCACTGGCCCAGGAGCAGGAGGCAGAGCTAGACCCCAAGGCTGAGAGGCTTTCACCCAGCCCCTAGAGCCTGGCACTTTGAACTTGGACTTAAAGCCTCCAAATTGTAAGAATAAACAACTGTTTGTTAAGGCCATCCCATTTGTGGTATATTCTTGTCAGAGCAGCACTAGGTAACCAGAACAGAGCAGTACTGTTATTTGCCATCAAGCCAGACCCTAGGTAACCAAAACACAGTACTAATACCACAACAATTTACCAAACATGTATACTATAAGTGAAATTATGCCATATGGATTCTTTTGCGACTTGCTTCTTCACATTGTGAGATTCCTCTATGCTAATGTGTGTAGCTACTATTCATTTTTCATTGTTGTATAATATTCCACTCTATTCATATCCCACTATATTACCAATTCTTCCACTGATGGAATTTGCATTGTTTCCAGTTTCTCCAATTCCCAAGTGTAGAATTGTTAAGTCTGGACAATAGTTATGGATTAAATTACGTTCCCAAAAATGTTGAAGTCCTAACCCCTGGTACATGTGAACATGGCCAAGTTTGGAATAGGTCTTTGAAGATGTTATCAGTTAACATAAGACCACACTGCAGCAGGGTGGGTCCTACTCAATCACCATGGTGTTCTTATAGAAGAGACACACAGACTTTGTTCCCTATGAACACTCAAAGGAAAGAAAAGTTTATAAAAGGGAGAGGGATATCGTAATGGAGCTTCCTAGCCCACAGTTTATGACTCTCAGCCATAACCTTAGGAACTAAAAAGCCCAAAAGGCATTGACGCAGGATGGAGCACTCATACTGGCTCTGCTGAGAGTGAGTGTGAATGGATGTGAGGCAGGGGTCACCTTGATTGGACAGTGGGCTCTAAGATAGCAACAGAGTTTACATCACAGAACCCAGTGTGATGTCACTACTAGGCCGTGGAACAGGGAAATTCAAATACAGGCATACCACACTGAAATTGTATATTTAATAGTTTTATTATTATTTAATATTTAAACTGCAGTAAGAAAAGCTGCAATAGGCTCCCTAGAGATTCTTCCCTGAGCCCATGTCCCCTTTTGCAGGGTCCAGCCCCAGCTCCTATTTAATGGGTTTCAAAAGTCACTGTCTCCACATTCTCAAGACGTGATGGTACCTGTGATCTTCCTCCTCCGGTTGCCCTCTGCCATCTCCACGGAGGTGCTCCTCTTCCTTTTCTCCACTCTTTTTCAAGGTGAGGCACTCTTCTGGTCAGACTGGCTTTCCTGTTCATCAGGAAGTGCTGATCCTGGTGAGTCCATTGGTCGGTGGTTGAGCCTGAACTCAATAGGCTCCTCTCTGACTTGTGAGATGCTCTAGACTCCTTTGTGATGGGAGTGGCTCCTTTGTGACGAGTGGAGGGCCTGCTGCCCCCCAGGCTGCTGTGGCCTTTATTCTTTCCAGGGGCTCTTTGGCTGCCTATAGACTGGCTGGATGATTTTCCTCTCATCTTTTCTCCTCCTGTCTTTCGGGGACTCTTGGTTCTCTTAGGACTCTGGGCACTCCTACTTTCTTTTCGCTCCCTTTTCTTCCAGGCTGCAGCTTTGGCCTGGAAAACTTGCTGGCTTTTAGCCTGTTTAAGTGCAGTGCCTCCACTTAGCAAGGTTGAGAGGAAAATTTCCTCACCTGGATAGCCATCTGTTTCTGTAACACCTTCACTTGTCAATTCGGTTTCCCAATTGGCCTCGCTTGAGCTGGTCTCTGGGAAGAGGCTGCTGGAATCGTCCGACATGCTGCTGCCCTCTGAAAACCGCACAGACACTGCGGCCACAGCCACCCTGATGCTCTTGGAGGGCATGTTAGAAATGCCTGCAACAGGGAGGCACGTTTTGCTTCTTCCAGGATGCTTTGTGGCTGATACTGTGTTTATCTGGTTCAAGTCCATGGACTTTGTTGCTGCCATATTAATAGCACCTTTTCCAATGCTTGATGCCATTGCCATCCACTCTGCCACTCGTGTGGCAAAGTGTGTAAGTTTTGTCTTCCGGGCAGGTTTGTAGGAGGCATTTTGGCCCCCCTCCCCACCAGCAAAAAAAGCATAGGTGGCCTCAGACAGTTCTGAGTACTCGGGACTAGTGGTCTCAGACAGTTCTGAGTGCTCCGGACTAGGAACACTGATCTGCTCCTCACCTTCCTTTTCCTGGATGCACACAGCTGCTGAGCCCTTCCCATCCACTGAAGTGTTGAGCACAGGCGTGCAGATCACATCACCAGCTGGAGCGGTGTCGCTGTCGACTGGCAGTTGCAGGAGATGGACGAGCTTCTCCCAGTAGATGAAGAGGTCTTCCCGTGCACCTGAAGGGGGACAAAGCTGCAGGTAACAAGCACGGCCTGTGATAAACTTCAGGCGCAGCTGCTGCTTCTCGTGGTCGTAGATGGTGATCTTCACAAACTTCAAGGGCAGAAGCCGGGTGAGTTCTAAGGTCTTCTCAGCCTTGCAGCCGCTTTCCCTGGGGTCCTGGCCACCATGCTCAGCACAGCCAGTGAGTGGCTGGGCCAGCAGCATAACGTCGGGAATGACGAGGACAGGGCTGGTGCAGGCGATGCCCACGGTCACCACTGGGACACGGTTGTGCATGTCAGTCAACTCTCCACTCCTTGTAATCTGGATGAAGTCGCTCTCAAATATGGGAGCGTACTTGAACATGTAGTACTCTCCGTTGTACAGCTGTCGCTGAAGATTCCCCATGGCGGTATTGAACATGCCCGTGGCAGAGCCATTCTTGGCCGTGTAATACGGTAACTGCGATGCACTGCTCATGGTGCCGACCTTCTGGCCCTGCCGCAGCACTGGCACAGCGGGTGTGGGTCTGCCTTGGCCTCGTTCGCAGAGCAGCGGTGCTCTGGGCAACAAAGACGACGCTGTGCAAAAAAATTTGTAGCACACCTCAACCCCCTCTTTGTGTCAGTCTCCCAGAGACTGGGTGGGGGTGGGGTGGGGAGGAGGGGTGGGGTGAGGGGGTGGGATGCTATAGGGGCTTGGGCAAACAGGAGCTCTTCTAGGATGTAGAGATGTAGGATCAGTTGAAGAGAAGTTTTCCAGAAAGTTTTTCAGAGAGGTTTGATCTCTTTGAGGAGCACCAAAGAGTGGTCCTGTGAAGAGAAGTCACTACCCTCTCAAGGCCTAAACCCCCTGCGCAGCCATATTTATACTGTTACTGCCCTATGTAACCTGTTGATGTCACACAGCCCTTTATTTTTGTTCTGCCAGCCACCCCTGAGGTCAAGGCCACCGCCCTCCCCATAAACATCCCTTTGCCTACACAGAGATGCCTGCCAGGCGCCCAAACAGAATTTCTTTTCAAATAGGAAAATTTTGTGTTGATGTTCTCCCCCCCCCCCCAAATTCAAATGATTGAACAACTTGATGGAATAACTAGAAACGTTTGAGCTCATGGCTTAATTTTGTTGAAGAACCTAGAATTGGCAGTCCTGGCTTGTTGACCATTGTTGTATAAAATCTCAGTAAGTGTTGACAATAAAAATCCTGAATCATGTTAAAAGCTGCTTCTCTTAGGCATCAAGCTGTGTTCTTCACATGCATTATCATAAGAACCCACTGACTGGAACAAAACTCAAAATCATTTGGAGAAAAAAAGGGGGGGGGGCACCAGGTTTGCTGGTCCAATAGAGCCTGGTGGAACCACTGAGACTATGGCCCCTAGCTGCCCTTAAGATCTGGAATTGAACCCACACCTGTGGTTTCTAGCCAAACAAAAGACAGTCATATGAGTTAAACATTTACCTCTCCAAGATACACTCCTTGGAGAGAACAATCATGAGAGAAGGAAGGGCTGCTTATGCACAGGAAGACAGCTCAGGGGGCAGGAGTGCGTGGAGGGATGGACACAGGGAAGAGGTAACTATGGGGAGGATGTGGGAGGGGAGCTGTTGCATTGTGGTAAACTGTGGTCAATGTCATGAGACAAAGTATATGTGAACAGCTGTATGGAAAGTGAATTTGCTCTGTAAACCTTCACCCAAATCACACACACACACACACACAAAAGAACCCACTGACTTTGATGTTGTTATTATTCCTGTCCTCATTTTACGGGTAACGAAACTGAGATGGTATGACTTGCCTATAGTCAGAAACCTAATAGATAATGGAGGCAGTATTTGAATCCAAGTCTACTGATATACCAGTTGTCTTTGAGTTGATTCTGACTCATGGCAACTCCATGTTGGTCATAATAGAATTGTGCTCTATAGGGTGTTTTTTAAATTTTTATTGTGATTTGGGTGAAAGTTTACAGAGCAAATTCCTTTTCCATAAAGCAGTTCATATACATTTTGTTTTATGACGTTGATTGCAAACCCCACTTCCTCCCTGTGGTTACCTTTTCCCTGTGTCCTTCTTTGCTATGTATTCCTGCCCTCTGTGCTATCTCCCTGTGCAAATACTGCCCTTGTGTTCTCCCATGGTTGATCGTTCTAAGGAGTGTATATGTACCTGGTATAAATGTTCACCCAATATGCCTGCGTATTGTTTGTCTGGAAGCCACAGAAGTGAGTTCAATTCCAGGCCTGAAGAACTTCTCCAATCTCTGTCAGACCAGTAAGCCTGGTCTTTTTTATGATTTTGAGTTTTGTTCCACATTTTTCTCCCACTGTATCCAGGATCTCCAATTCTGATCCCTTTCTGAGTGGTTGACACTGGTAGCTGGGCACCATCTAGTTCTTCTGGTCTCAGGGTCATGTAGGCCCAGGTTCCCATGGTCCACCAGTCCCTTGGACTAATTGTTTTCATGCATCTTCAATTTTCTTCATTCTTCTTTGCTCTGGATAAGAAGAGACCAATTGTTGCATCTTAGATGGCTGCTCACAAGCTTTTGAGACCCCAGTTGCTACTCACTCAAGTAGGATGTAGAACAATGTTTTTGTGTAGCATGTTATGCCAATTGAGCTCGATGTCCCCTTTGACCATGTTCCTGAGCCTGTGGGCCCAGCCACTTACTCCAAGGTGTTTGGCTGGGGCTAAGATGTTATCACAACTTTGCCCTCTGTTAGCTGTATTATGTCTATGTACGTTCTTTTAGCACATACAAGCACATATGTAGAAATATTGTCTGCCAAACTTGTACATTCTCTTTTGCCTACCCACACGTGATCATTTTGCCTGTCTACCTATGTATCCACCCATAGATTTGTTTGTTAATACTGATAATGCAGTATTGTGGACATAAAAATGTTTACCCTCATTGTCTGTACCTCTTGTGCACATCTCTGTGTCTTCCTTTTCTTTAATGTTAACGTGCTGGTCACTCGCTTTTGGTATATTGCCTTTCCCTTCACTCACACCCATACTTGTCTCTTACCTATCTAGCAATTTTCCTTCTCCTCCCCTCCCATCCCTAGCAACCAAGAAAGAAAGTTTCCTTCTATGTGTAAACCTTTCCTGACTTTTTATAATAGCGAGTTCATACAATATTTGTCCTTCTGTGATTGAGTTATTTCACTCAGCATAAGGAGCTCTGGTAGCATAGTGGCTAAAGCACTTGACTGCTAACCAGAAGGCTGGCGGTTCAA